ATAGCTTGCTTTCTTGTTTTGGTAAGTATGAACAGCCCAGAAAGCCAGGAGTTTGCCCTGAGTGTTTGCTTCACTTGTGCAACATAGATTTATGTACCTATAAATTAATCACAGTAAATAGTTTTAAGAATATACTCTGAAGATTCTCCCAGTTTAAAATGCAGAAAGAGAGTGAGAGGGAGTGAATTCTCCACAGGGGAGGTTAGAGAACTGGGTGGTGTTACACAAACTTGCATGAAAGCCAGGAATCTGTTCTGGCCTGCATGACATGAAGAACTTCATAAATGTGGGATGGTTAAAATGTTCTGGATGCTATATTGCACAAAGCAAATGAATAAACAAGAGCATTAGAAAATATTTTAGGATTAGAAGATTAAGAGTAATTGCAAAGGCAGACTGGATGGCTCAGAAGATTGGTAAGGGATCTGGAGCCTTTCACCTCCTGATTAGCCAAAGCTGTAACCCAGGTAAGAAAAAAAAAAAAAAAAAAAAGATTAACGTTTGATGTTCCAGTGCAGATGGATTGTAATCAGTACTTGCAGAAGAACCCAGGGGTCAAAGACAGCTTTACTCTGAGCATTTAATCCTTGTGGTTGAGTCTCTTATGTGGATATAGTTTCTGCTGGTAGAATTTTCTGCATGAAATACATGAGTGGGCAGATTTTCTCTTCCTTGGTGATTTTTTTCTGATTCTGTAAAAAGTATTTGTTAACTGGTTTGGTGTGATGGAATTTAGGACTGAATTTTGAAAAGCAGGAGAGAGAATAGGGGTAGCATTTGGACCAAGGGCAAAATAAAAATCAAAGACCCGTTAAAAAAAGAAAGAAGAAAGTAATTCTGTTTGCTCAAGTCCATCTATTCCATGAAATCATTATCTTGACTAATTAATGTAGGCATATCTGTTGGAAACATATAGTGCAATTATACAGCTTTGTTGACATACTTGCCAACATACTTCAGAAAGTACATCTTGAAACACTGTCAATTATCGTGCTATCTTTTCTCCTTTTCCTGGCTATTTTTGGAAATGTGTGTGATGTTTGAGGAGATAGCTTAGTTGTATTAACACATGAGCTTCAGATTTTGACAATTTCCCCCACTGATGAATAAACTTAATGATTAAGAGTTTTGAGTTTATGGAAATCTTACTGTGAAACATATTTCAGTCTAATCCCAGAATGAGACAGAGCTTTGAAGAGTAATTTTTAAAGAATATCAGTGCGACCACATCTAGCACAAGAGTGGAAAAACCATTCTAATATCTGTCTTTTTTGTACAGCGTAATAATTAATACCAAGTATATTGCCATAGTTGAGATGCTGCAGAAGTAAGTGATTATCCCAAGGTTTCATAAGCAAATGACAGTGAAGGGAAGAATTAAATCATGTTTCCACAGTCTGAACTTGTACGTTAGGTTCTCTTTAAAAAGAGAATGGTGAAGATTAATTTTCTCCTTTGTGTGTTGAGGGAACTGTTGATCTGTAGTTGCTCCTGTATTTCCTCTACAAGCTGTACCTCTGTTCGTGACTGTTACTGGCCGTGTCACCAACTTTGGACTCCAGTGCTAGAACAGAATTGCAGAATTTTAGCATTGCTTTTGTTTAGGTTCTTTTTTATGTTGGGAAGAAGTGTTTACTTAAGGAAATGTAACTCTGTTAGAGCAGTGCAGGAGATGATGTTGGGATTAGAATGAAATAAGGGAGTAAATACAAGAATCTATCACTTCTGATACCACCCAGAAATGTGGATTTTGATTGCGATAGTATGTATACCTCAATATCTATCTATCTATCTATCTATCTATCTATCTATCTATCTAATCTATCTATCTATCTATCTATCTATCTATCTATCTATCTATCTCTCTGTCTGTATCTATCTAGCTATCCATCCATCCATCCATCCATCTAGTCATATTCTGCTTTCTCCTTCTCCTTTACTTTTCCTCTTTGTGGGGCAGATCAGAGAGAGCAGAAGGTGAAGGACAATTACATCCCCAGTGAAGAAGTTTAATGCCTGTACATAGACATGCAACATGTAACTGGAAAATTTGGAAGTCAAGCCAAGATTTGAGCAAAGTGTGGGAATCCAAACAGTTCTGCAAATGTGTGGGTTTCTTTCAAATGTGGCTGGATGAAAGCTGAAACAGATTCAGTTTATATTGTCACTTCAAGTGCTTCTCCCAACCTCTCTGCATGGAAATCAGTTTCTTTAGTTGTCTTTCAATGACAACCTTCATGGAGCTTTCAGTAGGCTTTGCTATGTATAAAAGGAGGCTTTTGAGTGTAATAACATTAAGGTGACCCTGAATTACTTTTCACATGCATGGTCTAATGCAAAGAATTATTTTGAATTGTGGCAGGTATTCAGGGAAATTCCAAACCAATAACTGGTAATCAATTACATTCGAGTGATGTAAAGATGTATCTCCCACATTACAAGAACTTCACACAAGCACTGTGGGAATATTTAATTCTACTTTATCCTCTTGTGATGCAGAGAAGGATGTATTAGCATGGAACACAAACTTGCTGTGTAGACCACTAAGCAGGATTAGCACAAGTTACAGAAGTGATGTGATTTAGAGTCCAGTGAAGAAAATAGTAGTACTATATGTTTTACCAATGTTCTGAAATAAAAGTAATTAGCAGTGACTGGCAGCTGGGATTATTGTCACTCAGAGTTTGTAACTCGCGTCCTCAGAGTGTCTGCAAAATAGGTTTGTTATCTGTAACTCTGTGGCTGAACATTGAGAGTAATCAGTGTATTTACTCATTAAAACCATTTAAGGTAAAGCATTTTGGTCAGTCATCTGTGCATGCACAGAACAAACACACATATCTAATTAAATGAACGAAACCAGATCACCTTACAACTTATGTAATTATGCAGTGAACTGTTGTTATTTTCTGTTTACTTAATTGCATCAGTGCTTTCTTTAAGTTGTCTTTTGACACCACTAAGACTTCGAACATTGAAATGATGCAGTGGATGAAGACCTTAAGTGCTAGATACTGGAAAGCAGGCCCAGGTCCCACTTTTGTCAATGGGATCAGGCTCAGCATGGCTTTGTCTCCAATTCTTGCCTGCCATAAAATAAATAAAGGGAGGTAACTCCTGCACTACAGAAGACCTGTTAAACATCTCTTTTGCAAAGAACCTCTTCAAAACCAAGTTCATAATTTGATAGAGAATGTAGGGTCCCAGTTGAAAGTGAAAATGTTGTTACAGCTAAGTCCTAATGATTTGGCTGCCTGACTCACCATTGCCTAATGAGATATGTTTCCTAAACAAACAGCGAGCCATTTTCAGTTTATTTAAGGAAAAGTTTTAACCAGTGCATGGGGATTTGGCTTCCTTAAGGAAAAAAATAAACAGAAGAAAGATTTGGAGGCTGAATAGAGGCAGCTCATTATATCATGGTTTAGTAACTCATTGCCTCACTATACATGCTCAATTCTGATGAGGTATAAAGGATAGCATTTCATTTTCTGAGCTAAATGGCTAAAAGGCATTATTAATATTACATTTAAAAATGTTTACATTTCATGCTCTCTGTATGTCTGAGTCTTTCCATTTGGTGTGATACTCAATGAGCAGTGATCATGTTATCTTTGTGGCATAGCTGTTGAGGAGGAGAAGAAAAATAATTACACCATTTGCCTAATGCATTAGAACTGAAACCTACAGAAATGTAGTAATACACTTACTGGTTGGGAAAATGCAAATCAAACTCTGCAAGGCTCGATTTTATACTCTCTGTTAGACATTTTCTGGGTGTAAAAATTGAGAATATGTCACAAGGGAGCTTCCACCCATGTCTACACCATGTGGCGTAGACTGGATGATGGCAAAGGAGTCGATGTCTGTGGATTTTGGGAATTATCTTCTGGATGCTGTACACTATTTGCTACTCAGAAAAAGAAGCTGTGCAATGGTGACATTTTTGTCAAGAGATTGTTTCTTTGGCCTTCAAACCAGTTGTACAGGAGCAGCAAATCTCCCCCTGATGTCAGGGGCAGGTGTGGTGCACTCCTGGGAAGGGCAGGCCTGCCTTGCTGTGAGAACACGGGCTTTAATAACATCAGCCCTGGAAGCCTTCTTCCCTTCCTGCAGAGCATTTTGCTCAGACATCATCAGAACAGTTAAGTAGACCTACCTTATTTTTTGTGTGTGTAATTAGTGATGTCATGGGCTTGGGTGTGGTAGTTTTCTTTGCCACATGCCATTTTTCTACTGTAGTTTTTCCATCCTTGTTTTAGTAAATTGAGCTCTGTGCATGAGAGGAACAGAAGATTTCCTTGGAGAATGTCTGCAGTGAGTAATCCTTGAGAAAACTGCCTTTTGTTTGAGACATCAGCCAGTATGGCTCTGTGAAAAGGCATCCTGGTGGATACTGGATACTCGTGTAGGAATGATCTTTGTAAGAATTGGTCGTACTTCTGGCAGAACAAACTGAATTTGTTATTTGAAATTAAATTTTTGCTTGCTTGAATTTAGAAAGCAATTCTCTTTGTAAAGCACAAATATGATTAAAGCATCTAAGTCAAAAGACTGAGGATTGTTTTTTTTCTTCCACACCTGGTATAGTCTCCCAGGAAAGTCTGCTTTCAAAGCGTTCAGAGCTGTGGGAACTGGTTATTGGATCTTCTGTCAGTGATGCTATTTAATGATACAGTGAAGGAAGGAACAGTCCTATCAGCACTAAGATAATCTTCTGCACGTTTGCCTCAGTCTCTGCAAATCAATGTATTTGTTATTTATATGGCATATATATTCAGCTATGAGAAACATTTAAAAATATTCATCAACAAATGTTAAATACAAATGTGAGGGTATATGTATGATATCTTACATGTTACACTTGAAAATGATGGCAGTGATTAATAAAAGAAGCTTATGAATCAATTCCTCTCTATTTCTCTTTCCCCCTACTTCCACTCCTTGCTATTTGAATAAATATACAGTGGAGCTAAAATGACCTTATTCTTTATTCACAGGTTACTTTAGGTGGAACCTTCATTGGAATTGGGCGGAAAACTCCAGATTGCCAAGGCAACACCAAGTACTTCCGCTGCAAATTCTGCAATTTCACCTACATGGGCAACTCCTCCACTGAACTAGAGCAACACTTCTTACAGACTCACCCAAACAAAATGAAAGCAGCCCTTCCCTCCTCTGATACTGGTAAAACTTCAGAGAAAAACTCCAATAAATCCAGTCCTACTCTTCGACCATGTGATTCTGGAGACTTGGGGAAGTGGCAAGACAGAATCACTGTAAAAGCAGGAGATGATACGCCAGTTGGATATTCGGTGCCCATCAAGCCAATAGATTCCTCTAGACAAAATGGTACCGATACTACCAGTTACTACTGGTGTAAATTTTGCAGTTTCAGCTGTGAATCGTCCAGCTCTTTGAAACTATTAGAACATTACAGCAAACAGCATGGGGGAAGCCAGGCAGGAAGCCTCCACCCAGATCTGAATGATAAGCTTTCTAGGGGATCTGTCATTAACCAGAATGATCTAGCCAAAAATGCAGATGGGGAGTTAGTGACAAAGACAGAAAAGGGTGCGAGTGTGGCAAAAAAGAAAGACTTGAGTAGCAAAGGAGCAGAGGACAGCATGGTGACAAGCTACAACTGTCAGTTTTGTGACTTTAGGTACTCAAAGAGCCATGGCCCAGATGTAATAGTGGTGGGCCCACTTCTCCGTCACTATCAGCAGCTACACAACATTCATAAGTGTACCATTAAGCACTGTCAGTTCTGTCCCCGAGGCCTCTGCAGCCCAGAAAAGCACCTTGGAGAAATTACTTACCCATTTGCTTGCAGAAAAAGTAATTGTTCCCACTGTGCTCTCTTGCTTTTGCACCTGTCTCCAGGGGTGACAGGAAGCTCTAGAGTCAAACACCAGTGCCATCAGTGCTCATTCTCCACTCCCGACGTGGACGTTCTCCTGCTCCACTATGAGAATGCACACGAAGGCCAAGCGTCCGATGTCAAACCAGAAACAAACGCCCTGCCAGGGGCAGAGGGGCCGCTGACGCTCAAGGAGAACAAAGAACACTCATGTACCAAATGTGACTTTACCACCCAGGTAGAAGAAGAGATTTCCCGACACTACAGGTATGGTGAAGTTTCAAGTGATTAATGATTGGAACCCAAACAGCCCTCCCCCCCACCCCATAGTTTCTTAATTAAATGTCACCATTCCTCAAACATTTGAGGAAGCTGGAAATCAAAATAGGAATGTGTATAGATATAAATCTTTACAGCCAGAGTCCAATCCAACATCCACTTTGTTTTGGAAAACCACCAGCTAAGTTGGTGGATTTAATTATACATTTAAACCTGTGCAGAGGAGAGGGAAATTTGGATTTGTGTGCAGATGCTAAAGTTTCAGCATATTTGAGGTTTGGTCAGCTATTTTCCACCCAGAATCTTTTAGGTAATATAGGTGCTATTTTAGTTTAGGCTTTTTCTGAGAAAGTTGGCATCTTCATTCAGTCAGGGAACACAAATGGCTTTACTTTCCAAGATAGACTGTGAACCCTTTATGCTCCATCACAGTGCTTCAATGTGTTACCTTTTTGTAGTATTTTCCATTCCCAAGTCCAGCAATGTAATAATTAGTTTAAGAGCATTCCACTGCTGTTTTGGTGTTCGTTTCCCACTGGAAGCAGACACTCTTTTGTCTGTTGATGTCATTCCCCAAGATCCTTTTGCAGATGCTTATTTTCGTGTTGCTGGTTTACAGTGTCATTCTATTTATTTTAAATGCTAATGTTCCTATTTGGAGGTGGATGCAGCCAGTCTCCTGACTCAGTCTGACACAATGTCATAGTAGCAGCCAACTCCCTGCTAAACTTCTTGGGTCAGTTCCTGGGCTGTTGTAAACTGGCAGTCCAGTTTGCATCAGAGGAGGAGCTGGCTCTTAGAGTTTGTAAAGAGCAACAGTTATGTGCCACTGCAAAAGTGATGTTAAATATTAGAAAATCATGCTGAATATGTTAATAGTTAGGGCTAATGCGTCAACAACAACGGAAAACTTCAGTATCTATCTCATCTAAAAGATCTTTGTGTGGAAGCCAGCTAGAATGAAGACAAAAGAAGATGCATTTTCAAAGCTAAAGCTTTGTTAAAAGCTCAAGAAACTGTGCCACGTTTAATAGATTCCAAGACATCCAAAATTAACAAAGGCAGACTGGGGCATGATACTTTAATAGAGATTAAAGCTGGGGGCATCCAAATGTTGCCCAACAGAGGGCTGCATTGGCAATATATCAGGAGTCTATTTAGAAAAAAAAAAAAAAAAGAGCAGATTGCTCATCTTTAATTTGGAGCTAGGGCCCACAGAGGATTCAGGTCCCAGCATGCAGTTCCCCATTTTTGATCCAAGTGGGCCTGAGGGATGTTGTGTGGATTAATTAGTTAATGTTTGTAAACTGCTTTGAAGATGAAAAGTGGTATCTAAGTTCCAAGCATTATTATAACAGCTTTGAGCCATGCTGAAGAACTCCATAGGCAGCACTTTGTCCGCGGCTGGGGCATGGCATGATCTTTTTTTAGTGGTTAAGTAACTGGAAGATTGAAATGGCTCCTTTACTGAAAAAATCCAACCTTTTATTTTGCTGCAACTGGTAATTTAAGTTTTAACAAGCATGCCGAGCTAGGATCCTTTTTCCCAAGAAGGGAGAAGCCATGACTTTCAAAATGAAGTGCTAAGTCTGAGATGGGGTACTTGTAGCTGCTCCTTAGGAGGGCTCAGCACCCTGCAGTTCTGGCACTAGTCACAGGGAACCGAACTTTGGAAAATCAAGAGATACACTTTAAGCATTTTAGTCTCAAATTGTTTGTCTAAGATTAGGCTATTTTGTGTAAAACACTTGAGCAACATACTCTGTTAACCCTGATCTGTGACATTATTGACTACTCTGAGGGCATGTGTAAAGCAAAATACAATGTCCCCATAACTGCTAACTTCTTTCCCTTTCTCCTGTAATTCCCCCTTGATAACATAAATTTCATTTCTTTTCTACTTGTACTGCTGATGTTTTCCCCCACTGTCCATCTTGTTTTAAATCACATGAGTTAGTTCAGTTTATTTGCTCTTTAATGACAAACATCAGCAAGTTTTATTGTTTTTCTATTTATAACCTAATTTTCACTCTATCAAACTAAAACTTCTGAGACATTATAACTTTTGTTTCTATTATTATTACCAGGCTTTATTTTTTTTTTAGTAGAAGTCTGGCATGTATCAGATAAGTGTTTTCTTTCCCTTTTTGTAATTTAGAACCTAAAGACAGAGTACAGTTCAGATTTTAAGAAGTAGAACATCTATAAAATAGTAGTGTTGGTTGATAGACAGAAACATGTTAATGTAGTCAGCTCACAGCCAACCGGGCTTCTCTGTTTCTTAATCAGAATTTGTCTCAACAATTTTATGCCACAAATAGTGGATATCTGATGTATTTAAAATGCCCTACATGCCCATGTCTCTAAAACCTGTTCATTTATATAATAAGGAGCTGAATGGATTCTAACAGTAAACATAATACTAAACATTAATGTAGTGGAAAAAAATGTTCTGCTGTTCCCATATTTAGATTTAGCCTTGATAATCTGGAGTATCAGTGTTGGCTTTAGATGCTACGTACATGTTTGGATTCATAGATCTTTTCTCTGCACTATTTTAATTTTCGAGTCATGTGTCGGAACAACATGCTTAATTTATTTTATTATTTATTTTGCTTCCTTTTGGCTCCACATCTACAATTTCACTGTGTATTGCTAGCTAAAAAATTTCTAATATCCCAATGTTATTCCTTTGCAGCCATGTATTTGCAACAGTATTAGAATTTGCAAAAGCAGTTCTTTCCAATTTTTCTTTCCACAGAAATGTATATTTACACTTAGCAGTCATTCAGTATTTCTTGACATAATTATTTGAGAGCTGTTCATTTTAATCTGAAGTCAATGAATCACATAGCTCTTGAGTTTACTTGTATTTAAACTTCACTAAAATTTGCTTATTCAAATAAATCCCTAGAAGATTTATTGGCCTCCATTTTCCTCTAATTCTGCTACTAGTCATTTTCCATTATACCTCTGAGGAATCAGATACTATTCATGTTCATTGCAAAGCTTAGTTTTTTCTTAAAACTGTCTGGTATTCTGATGAGCCAGAAGATGCCAACACTTTTAATTTAGATAAAAATCAAACTGAGTATTTGGGCAAATTTTGCATGTTGTTTCACTTAGTCTAGAGATTATTTTCCTGCTTGTTCCAAAGTAATTAATTTTGATTATTTTTGTAAAATCAAAGCAGCTTCTTGCAGAAGTGCCTCTTTTTTTTTTTTTGCTAAAATGTGGGAAAACAGTGCATTTTTTCAATTTAGCAAACGATAGAATTTTTCATGTAAAACCTTACTTGACTGAAAGCATTTGATCAGTGCTAGTTATAATTAGAAGTGCTATGCTGAAAAATCTTTTAAGCTTTTTAAAAACAAGGTAGGATAGTGATTCATTAAATTGCAAAATATGATATGAAAATAAAGACTCAAATGAAATAGGAGCTTTGGCAATGGGGTAGAATAATTTTTCTAATAAATAATTTTGAAAATGTGGATGGCAGCAGTTTTGTAAAGCTCTCTTTGGAAATTAATTTCGAGTTAATGAAATAATTCCTTACCTCTCAAAGATAAAGAGGCAGAAGGGCAAAAGGCAAAGGGGTGCTTGGGGCTTGTGTCTTCTCAGTGCTTGGGCTGCAGCTCAGGGATGGGGTGTTGGGGACAGGGCTGTTGGGACTGACCCTCAGACTCTCAGGCACAAAAAGCCAGAGCAGGGTATCAGGTATCAGATATGCAGATTATGGAAATGTGGCACCTTTGGGACACTTCCCCCAGAGAAGAAACTCCGGGGAAAAAATGTCAACTGAGGCCCACCAGCTCCCAGTTTTAGAGCAAAGCAGAAACCTTCCCTCAGTGAACAATAGCAGCAGCTATGAGGGCCTTTTCCATCCTCCTGACACCTTAATTCACTGCTCTGAACTTGTTTGCTCTTGCCAATGGCTTTTGCTCTCCTTTGATCTCAGTCTTGCTCTCCACTCTGCCCTGTCTCCTTTCTGTTCTAACACTACGCTGCATTTTCTTCCTTGCTTTGCTGGCTGTCTTTTCTTATGAAAAGCTTGAGTGCAGCACCCATCTCAAAAGTTAACTTTCTTACAAACCTGTTTCTTCATGAGAAATGATAGTAATTATTGTATTTATAATTAAAATAAAATGTGAAAAAATGGAAGTGAGACAACAGCCATACCTTCTTCCAGAATATTTTCTATGCCCTAGAGCCTAGGACTGTCTTCAGGTAATTAAAAAAAAAATTACTTGTTTTGTAGAAGATAGTGTTTTGTAATACTTCAGACTAGATAGAAGTATGTCAACAAGACTTAATTAACCACTGGCTAATGTAGAGAGTCTTGCAGCCTGTTAGGAAGTTCAAATAAAGAACATTAAATCCATAAAAAACTCCAACCATGTAATCTCTCCAACGTAAAGATTTTGTGAGGGAAAATCCTTATATCTTACAGTGCTCAATTCAAGTACTTTTCAGTACAAATAATGATAAGATTTTTTATAGTTCTCAGAAGGTTTTTCGTAAATTTCTTGATATTTAATCTTGGGATTGGGCCATAAATGTTTTACTGTCCACAAATACTGTCCACATTTGTCCACAAATATCTTTGCTTTATTTTCTAGTAGAAACGGTAATGCTAAGTGACCTCAGTGGATGAGATAACATTGCCAGCCCAATGCCATATTGCAGAGAATGCCAGTTTGTGGCTTGAACCTGCTGTTAGTGTTCTTGAGGACTGTATAAACAATAACAAAGAAGGAAGAGTGCTGTTTTCTTCTTCATTTACATCACTTTCTTCCATCCCAAGATTTTCCTCTTCTTAGAGTAGCTCTGCACCAACACACAGTATTGCATCAGACAAATTCAGTTTCAGAGGGTATAGCTGTGGTCTAGCTGTAAAGTGTAACTTTGAGGTAGAGCACAGGAATGCTTCTTGTGTACTTTGCCGACTGGAATTCTTTAAATTTTGTTTCTTAGCCTTGAAGAGCTTTGTACACAACTCTAGATGTAACTTGGGCTTTTAGAAGCATAGAGTAGACTTAATTTCTAGTAAAAGAGAAATCAAACGCTGCAAATTTGTTTCCCTGCTTGCTGTCAGGGTGGAGTGAAAACTGAGAAGAAAACATTTTCTTTTTATGCCTTGTTCTGGGAAAGAATAAGTTTCCAACTTTCAAAAGTTTTCTAATGGCTGATGATAGTTACTATTTTATTATTTGGGACTGTGACTTATATTGGACAGCTCCAAACTTTAGCTTACATATTGGAGCTTGGGGATTGAATAATACACAGGACAAACCCATATGAAGTATCAAGATTTATAATGTTGATGGCAGATTTTTAATGCATACTGGAAACTATACATTCTGAAAAAAAAAAAAGCCTGTTGGGTTACTATCTACTGAAGTATATCTTCATTTTTTTCACCACACAGTGCTTATCACAGTCTCATAGAAGAATGAAGGAATGCTTATATGACTGTCTTTGAATCAGTTAGAAAGAATTTAAATTAGCAAACCTTTAATGTAGTAAGGGTGATTGTATCTGGGCCTCAGCCATGTAGTTACAACTGCATGTAATATTCAGCATTTATTTGTGTCCTCAGAAGTGTGGTGTATATGGCTCCTGATCAAAAACATTTAGCCAGTGAGGAATGGAAAAATAAAAAAAGACAAGTTAGGCAGAAAAAGATCAGCTGTTTGGAGGTGTGATATCTGTAGATGAGAGCCAAGTTAGGAAAGAGGTTAGCTATTGAAATGGCCAAGTTAAACAAGAGACACTTAGGGCTAAGTAGTGTCCCAAAGGATTGATAAACTTTCACATGGGGAGTGTATGTGGTTGAGCCATTAGCCCCAAATGGTGTCTTGTTTAACTTGGCTTTTAAGATAACTAGCCCCTGTCTAACTTGGACTTCTCTGATGGTATCCCACCTTTACAGGGCTGACCCTCTTTATAACTTGGCTTTTTGTATTTATAAAATGGTTTTGATCAGATAGCACTCTTTTCTTCTTTTTTTTTTTTTTTTTTTTTTGGTTCAGGAGAGAATTAAGCTTGGTTTAGAAAAGAATTGAGTTGCAAGAGAGAATATATTAGTGTCGCATTGAGAGACAAGCTGATTTTAATAAAACATAATTGTAGAATGAAGGAAAAGGAACATGGCCAGAGCAAGATTTTAACCCACAGCTTGCTCTCCCACAAGTAAGTTTTGTTGCCATAAGGCTGTGTGGAGAAGAACTGAATTTATTTTTTGCATAATGGAACAAGACCATCTAGTCCCTTAAAATGAATATAAATATGGAAAATGACAAAAAGAAAACTGATATTGCACAAGGGCTGAAAAGCATGAATCCGAATGTGTACTCATGTCTGTACGCTGACACAACTGCAAGAAAATCAGACAATGTAAATAACATATGGTTTGTTTTTCCAGCAAAAGGAGAGAAGGAAGGCAAGGGGGTTTAATAAGTTTGGCAAGCTGTCCCTTCTAAACTATCATAGTCTAAAAGGGACATTTTGTGTATCATTCCAATTCTACAGATGCACTGAGAGCCAAATCCTGCTCTTACTGAAGTCAATGGGAGTTTTGCCATTGACTTCACTGAGACAAAGATTTGGCCTTAAAAGAATTAATTCTAACAATTGGAGTCAAGGCAGTAACAGATCTCTCATACAAGTTTTGTCCTGTGTGGATAGTGAAAGGCTCATTTTTTTAGTTTGGCTAAAGACACTGCTGAGACTCTGAATGCCTGGGGTGTGGATTTGTGAGCGTGTCTGTAGGGAGAAGCTCTCGCAGAGTTCTGTACATTTTGCAGGGCAGGGATGAAATTTTGCTCTGCTTTGGTAGGATGCCGGGTGCAGCGGGGCCCAGAGCCTGATGAAAGGCTCTGACCACTCCTGTGCTATGAACAATTATTCATAATGGCGTTAGAGAGCTCATAAACAGTGTTCTGTTCCTATGATAGATACAGTAAGTGGCTAACATGTTGTTCTCATGTAGGAACATATGCTTTACATAATTTAGTAATGCAGTACTTTTTATAGGCTTTTAGAGGAAAAACAGGAAGGCGTGCTATTCCACTCTGTTCCATAGCTCCTACCCAAGAATTTCTATATTTGACGGGAAAGGCAGTTTGTAGTGACACAGCCAACTATTGTGCTTTATCTTTAGAGATGCATCTTTTTAAATTGTGTTAAAATGTCCATAGAGAACCAAGTGTACACTGCTGTCTCTTGTGTACAGCCTTCTGTCCTTTGGTGTATTCTTATCCCTAAGTTAATCAGAATCAAAATCATCTTGTCAAGCAAAAGTATATGGAACAGGTAGAAAGTAAAGGACTTTTTAAAATGTTTTAACTTTCTAACATAATTTATATTATTTGAAGTCTTTTTTTAATAACAAGAGAACTGTCCTCTTCTATTTGATTTTGGTTGAAAAGTATATTTTTTAGTGTTTCTGCTGTAGCAGAAAGTGAAAAGTATATTGCAGCAAACTGAAGAAGAAAAACACAAAATCCCAGTGAAAATTTTATGAAGTTTAGAATAATACCATGGAATGTGAAGGAACAATAGGAGGCCATTGCAAGGCATGAGGGGAAAAATCAGCAGTATTTTTGCCCTGCTGTATAAGATACCAAAGTAAACCTGCTTGCTTTATTTAGACAGGGTCATACTGTAAGTTTGATTTATTTTCTTAATCTTGGTAGGTAAAACCACTGTGAGAGGGAAGGCCAAGGGGTGACTCTCATGTTAATGTGCTTCTTGTTTTCTTCCAGGCGAGTACACAACTGCTACAAATGCCGTCAGTGCAGCTTCACAGCTGTTGACACTCAGTCACTACTAGAGCACTTCAACACTGTGCACTGTCAGGAGATGGACATCACTACAGCCAACGGGGAGGACACTCACGGCGTTTTGTCCATCAAGGAAGAGCCAAAAATTGACCTTAAGGTCTACAGTCTGATTAACCCAGACCCCAAATTAGGGGAGCCCATATCTGACAGCATAGTGAAGAGAGAAAAGATAGAAGATAAGGAAGTGCTCAAGGAGAAAGGCTGGACTGACAGTCCCAGTGATGATCTTCGCAATGTGACCTGGAGAGGAACAGACATTTTGAGGGGGAGCCCATCCTACACGCAGACCAGTCTAGGCTTACTGACCCCCGTGTCTGTCGGCCAGGAGCAGCCAAAGCCTTTGAGGGATAGTCCAAATGTAGAAGCTGCCCATCTCGCAAGGCCCATTTATGGCTTGGCAGTGGAGGGCAAGGGTTTCCTGCAGGGTGTCCCAGCCGGAGCAGCAGAGAAAGCCGGGCAGCTCAGCCAGCCCTACTCTGGATCCGGGGACGGCAAGGCAAAAGATGAATCCCAGTCCTTATTACGGGTAGGAAACCGGTTTTTTTCCCCCCCCTTGCTTTTTATGATTGCATGTATGTTATGTTTGATTGGCCGTGCATATGATTTCCTCAGGTCCGGAGTAACGTGGTTGGGGTTCTTTTAGGGCATGGAAAAAAAAAGTCAAGGAAAGACTCAAATTTGTAGAGCCAAGCTGGCAGGTAAATTTTCTAAAGTGTTCACATAAAGCAATCTATATATTGATGGAGTATTAGTAAGCGTCTGCTTTTGCTCTTTAGCTCTGATTGAATTTTGTTTAATCATTCCTGCTAATTGTGCAGGTTGGTGATGCATGTGAAGAAGGGAGGTTTAGAACCCCAGAAGGCTGCACATCTGTTACACTAAAACAACTAATCACCTCTTAAATTTTGTGGTGGTGTGACAGTTCACACTTAAGCAGGATTTTATATTACTATATATCTAAGAATATGAAATGTGAGTTAAATATTAATAAAAAGTAACCTTTTTTTGTGAAACAACATAATTATATATAAATTTTGACACTTGTCTGATTGCCTTGGAAGCATAAAAAAAGAAAAAAAGAAAAGAAAGGATCTCATGTGATAAGAGAAGGTAAATATTTGTCCCACCAAATAATTCCTCTTTTTTTTTAAACAAAAGGATCTATATACAAGGAAGTTTCCCTTCCATCAAGGTGTGTTTTTCCCACTGTAGAGAAAATTGAGGTTAGAAGAGATCTCATATTCTAAGGAGCTGAACAGGGAGACAAATGCTTTTCTCCTGAAGTCATCACATGTTTTCAGGAGCTGTTCCCTATCTGAATTTATAGAAACTTGCCACAGGAGAAGTCAGTCTGCAGACAAAGCTTACTAGAATGGAAATGATGATCTGTTGGTTTCCTTTTTTGTCTTTTACAACAGCATTTGTAACCATAGAATCAATTAGTGTAACAATGTCACATGTAACATGTAAAAAGGAAGATAAATGTTTTATTCCATGGTCTACTAAGATTATACACAGGTATATCTGTCTCTGTACATATAGGAGTCTTAAAAGCTGTTTTAAATTAAGTCAGTGTTCTTAAAAATACTGCAGCCGTTCTAATTATAAAATAGAGTGTCTGCAATTTGAACCCTGCACGCAATTTATGGGGACCACAAACTTCTGTACCTTAGTTATTGTTCTCAGATTTTAAGTGTATGAGAAGCAGTTACAGTATGATAGGTTCCTTGTTGCTAACCCGGATGTGTGCTCACTGTGGATGGCAGGATTATATTTCTCTCCTCCAACACGAAATGGGTATTAAAATACATACAGAAACCCATGCAGCAGTGGAATTCCTGCTGTACATATGATGTTAGTTACATCCCACCTCAGTTCTTGTACTGGTTCTTAGCCGTGTGCAGACAGATTCGCCAGAGGAGCCATTTAATCTGTGGTTTATGAGAATCCAAATTACTTTCATTTATTTTCAATTTTTCAAATATTTTCATTTATTTTTTCGCTGCCAGAGAAGGAAAGAAAGCCAAAAAAAAATCTGCAAAGGGACATGGTAGTATGCAGAATCAGCTCTATAAAGGTCTTAATTTGGTTGGTAGCTGGACCTAAAACCTTAGTAAACAGTAGAATAAGGCCATTATTACTTGTTTTAGCCACTGCTGAATATAGAATGGGAAACTGTATGCTAGCTGCTTCTTATGTCATTTTAAAAATAACTTCCGATGCTTTTTTAAAGTCTTTATATAAAACCACTTTTAGATTTGCATATGTTTTCAAATTAATATTTTGTCAATTTTGAAATAGTGTGATTACTTCTGGGCCTAAAAATCCTGTATCTTCCATACTCATCACTTCTGGGACTAAAAAACCTATATCTTCCATACTTCTCTGGAAAAAAGATAAAGGTCTTTTGTGTATTAACAGTGCATATAAATTAATTCCTTACATTTTAAAGCGTGTACAACTCTACTTTTCTTTTTTAATGATTTATTAGAAGATTGTGTCTATAGTGGTTGATAAAACCTTCAGTCCTTCAAACAGGAATTACTTTTGTGTACACCTTTAGCTGCCATGCTCTTTGAACTCTATTGTGCCAAGGACTTATTTGTCTGTCTTTTCCTTACTGATAATATTTGAATTTTCACTTTTCTTTGAAAATTGGGCAAGTTGCTTTTGTTAGCTTGAAATATTTAAAAAAAAAAAGTGGGGGAAAGGAGATTAACTTTTTTCATCTGCTGAACAGAGTCCCTAATATTACATATTTCATCGTCTGTTTTCATCAGAGAAAACAAAATGAGAATTGAAACTTCTTGAAGGTAAGGGGTGATCTGAAGGATAGGCGATATTGGGAGTGTGATTCTGTGAGTGATACTAGTTCCCTCTTCTTTTCAATCTGTGAAAAAGATCATAGAAACCCAACTCCTTTAATTTGCTCTTGATTTAGCTTTCTGCAGACAGAGTTATGAGATGCAGTACTGGAGCCATGAATAAGAAGACAAAGAGATGGTCAGCTTGACCATTGGGAGCTTAGTGTCAAGGATTATCTGTCATACACATATGTATGCCCAGAAGCTCAGTTGGCCCAGAGAGAAAAAAAAATGTTCAGAAAAGCTTGAAAAACTAATTTTTGTAATCCTCTGAAATAAAAAAATGCACTGTGTTGGTAAGCAAATCTCTCATTATTATCTACTCATTATTATCTACTTTTCTCTACATTTATTTTTCTAGTATGAAATGGCTAGTAGGAGCAGCTAATGCTGTCTAAAAGTTGGTCCTCTCTGAAAGCAAAGTGTTAACTCAATACATCCTTCTAGTATCATATAATGAATGCTTATGCAAAACACTGTATCCCAGGACAACTGGTGACTAGGAAACAAAACCTATAATAAAATCACTGTGGACACCTTCATTTTTTTCCCCCTGAAGATTGACACAGGAAGCCAAAAATTTGGAATTACTCAGTGAATAAACACTGAGAAATGGACTAAAAAAGAAAGTTTCTAACACATCCCTTTGGTTGTACTGGCTATTCTGTATTTATAAAATGGTTCTGCTTATTACAAATTATTTGTAATGATTTGATGGTAGCAGCAATTCCATGTGCTTTTAATTTTTTGCTTTCTTGATGGTGTGGGAAAGGTAAAGAGGAGATAAGATTTTTTCACATTTTTTTCAAGTAGAGGTTGATACTACAGGTTTAAAAGTGATTAGCATTTTGGTAAAATATCAGAGACAATACAAATCAATTGGAGAAGGGGTGAAAGGGGTAGCCCTCAGAAATTCTTAATGCTTACAGGATAATTGATTTTTAGAAATTGCTTGGAGTAATTTTCAGGTTTGGATGTTGACTAAGCCATTTATATGCTATTTCTTGTATTCCTTCTGTACATGGTGACCATGGTCCTTCCCTAGATTCTGTGCTGCAGTAGATTGTCTGTGGGAGTCATTGGGGTAAGATTTCTCTAATTTTTAGAATCTAAAAGGCCAAACTGCTTGTGACCTTTCGGGAGCTGGAGACAATGCAAACACACACGTGCAGTTGATGCACCTTTATCCCTGAGTATGCTTCCAAGCTGTGTGTGTGTAACAGAATCTTTCTCAGGGGCTTGGTACACTTCTGTGAGTAGCTTTAATTTATTTTTCTTATTAAAATATTTCCAGCAGCTGTACTTACAGTGAATCAGTATGTTTTACAAATGGGAATTACCAAAAATGTACCTCAGCGTGGTACAATGTGGACATTATTTCTGCTCTTCCTTAGAGTAGCTGATTTTCTAGTTGAAAGATTTGTTGATACTGGAAGGTCTATTGAGATGCAAAAATGTTCCTTTTTTTGGGTAGCACATTGGCAGCCAGCAGACTCCAGGCCAGGCAGATTGTTTAATGCTTTGACGGTGCAGATCTTGGACAGCAGGAACTTTTTGCTAAACTGATTTTAAATGAAGTGTCCTGTTTCGGTCTGTATGGACACTGCAGCAGAAAAATTTCCACAAAACAGGGAATTGTAGCCTGAGCCTTCAGACCTATACACAGGCCTAGTTAGCCCACCTAAAGGTGTTGGTAAAGACATTGTAGTTTAACCAACAAAGATGCAGTGATAACACAGGTCAGTGTGTCTGTCCTGTGGGGCCACATGGACCTGCACACAGCAAGATTACTTTGTGTACTAATCATAGTTTGTGGAGGGATTTGTGTACCATCCAAGGGAGAGAGATTGTCACATTATTCCAAAAGTACTGTGGATTTTTATCAAAGGCATACTGCAGGATGGTACATTAAATATATGACTGAGGTTATGTTAACCTTTACTATGAGCTTTTTATATGGTGCAAAGGATAAAATCTACTCTTCTGTTAAACTGAGATTATTTTGCACCATAATGATCAGACTGTTTAGACACTACAGGAAATCGCGGCATTTCAAAAAAGTTTCATTTACTTTGAGAAGAGTTATTTTCTTTTTGTCTGTGATATTTGCACTTGTGCTATTTCATATGGCATTCTGGCTAAAGCTGGTCATACAGCTTTAAATTTGGGGGAGATAGAAAATTAGAAAAAATTATTTCCCCTTTCCTTGTTTTGCATTCTCCTATGTAGGTGAGTGGCAGAGCTAATTTAAAAATATGCAATTGGTACGTAAGTATTAAATCTACATATAATTGATTTAGTATCAGTGTAGTAAATATCAGACACAGTCCCTAGTGGCAAATCATCATTTCTCCTATTATGGAGTACTGACTCCTGTTATCCACAGAGCTGGATGCCAAATAGCTGCAAAGCAGTGGAAATGCTGAACTGTCCTTTATGATTTCCAGAAGACTTACATAAGCACATACAGTTCTTGGCCAGAAGAATAACATACATTTGAGGTAAAACCTGCCTCTCTGATGCTGGTAGATGTTGCTACTGCTTTTATTGTGAGCACAAGAAGCAGCATGAGCAGGTTCAAGCACACAGAGTGGGATCTTTGTTTAAATATGAATTTTTGGTGGTCCCTCCAGAGTGACAGATGGAAGTTTTTGTGTTCTTT